TTGCTGGGGACATCCTGAAATAGGAATATATTTGGCGCCCAGTGGAAAGACAACAAGGAGGGTTAAGGAATTCCAAGTCTTGAGAGCGGATAGTAAGAAGACACTTAGTGGGTTTCTAAGAATGACAGAATGGTGAACAGGGTATTCCCCGCACATCTGAAAAAATCCTGGTTCGGTTTTTGTGGAAGAATACAGAGTTTCAGATAGCCTGGATCCAAACCTAACATTTTTAGTGCCAGTAAATAAGTCTTAGGAGAGTCTCGGGAGAGACACTTCAGCCATTTGGAATGGAAGCTGCACCAAAATTATAGGCTACCATAAGACAAGAAGTGTGATTTTCAGAGGAAACCCTGGGAGCAGATTAGGATGATAGGACTGTATTCACATCCAGCTCCTGAGGTTCTCCATTCCTTGTATTAGTATTTCCATGTACCTAACGCCCAAGTTGAGATGTTTTTCCTCTCCAAGAGTTTGTCTCTATATCCCACAACAAAACACTTAAAGGAAACTATTGTGACTTTCAAGATCTTTATGTGAACGGTATGGGGATCTGCATTGCAATGGAGTAGATTTTGGGAATCTCATTGCATAAGCCACCCTGAGTCCCCTCCGGGAGCCGCCCTGAGTCCCCTCCGGGGTGATAAGGGCAGGGTAGAAGTAACCGAAATAAATAATAAATAATAAATGAGCAAATCCTATTTTATGCTTAAAATAAGTCTTTGGATCATGGTCCCCAGTTAAAATACTGCTAAGTAGCAACTTCACGCCAAAGAATCTACCTATTGCTTCCTTAGATGCACTTTACTGCAAACTCCTTCTATTCACTCATGAGACAGATAAGTAGAAAATACCATTGTGCCAACAGTCAGGAATGTCTTTTCTTTGGGTATTTGATTTCCCTCTCCTTTCTTTCCTGGGCTACTCTTGCTGCCTTAACACTTAATTTTGGAGAAGCTAGGGCGTGGAAATGGGATTTTGTGTGAGGGCTTTGATAAGATGGGGGCTGGTTGCAGGAAGCACATAACTCCTTTCTTGCAACAACTCAATTGGCTGCTGGTTATGTAATGACCAATAAAGACCTATATGGCTTGAGTCCAGGATGTCTGGAAGGCCCTGCCTTCCCACATGAGCATACCTGTATTCTATGATCTTCAGGGGTGAGACTTCTCTCAGCCCTTCTATTGCTACATTTGATGGGTATTTTGGAGAAAGCCATCTTCGTGGCCATGCCACTCCATAACTCCCTTCCAAGTAAGGCTATGCTAACTCCTTCCTTGCTGTTCTTTTTTCACCAAGTGATGACTTTTCCATTCCGCAAGACATTTGAGAACAAATGGTTTTATATAAAGTTGTTTCTGCTTCGTGGCTGTACTGCATTTGTATTCATACTTTGTATAGTTTTAACTATATAGACAATAAAAATAACACTAAACTGTCTATAGAGTTAAAACCAAACCAAACATGAATATAAAAGCATGGGCTATGTTTTACTTATAAAGCCAGCCTTCCACATCCACAGATTTAGTATCCATGGATTCAACTATTTACAAATTGAAAATATTTTTTAAAAATCCAAAAAGCAAACCTTGATTTTGCCATTTTATATACATCACTTTCTTAGGCCATGGTATATAATGGGACTTGAGCATCCATGGATTTTGGTATCTACAGGAGGTCCTGGAGCCAAATCATGCTGGATACCATGGGCCCACTGTATGTAGTTTTATTTGTATATGCGTATCTGCGGGAAATAAAGCCCGACTGCTCACTGGAGGGAAGGATATTAGAGATGAAGATGAAGTACTTTGGCCACATAATGAGAAGACAGAAAATCTTGGAGAAAATAATGATGCTGGGGAAAATGGAAGGAAAAGGGAAGAGGGGCCGACCAAGGGCAAGATGGATGGATGGGATCCTTGTAGTGACTGGCTTGACCTTGAAGGAGCTGGGGGGGGGGGAGGGGGGGTGACGGAGGGGAGGGGGGGGGGGGGGGGGGGGTAACGGGACGGGGGGAGGGGGGTGGGGTGGGGTGGGGGGGGGGTGGGGGGTGGGGGGGGGGGGGGGGGAGGGGGAGGGGGGGGGGGGGGGGGGGGGGGGGGGGGGGGGGGGGGTGGAGGGAGGGGGGGGGGGAGGGGGGGGGGGGGGGGGGGGGGGGGGGGGGGGGGGGGGGGAATATGAAAAAGCTGACAGGTATTGACTGGTCCATGAGGTCACGAAGAGTTGGAAGCGACTGAATGAATAAACAACAAATCTTCACGTTTTGTTGTTTGAAACTCGAACCATCCGAGACCTACTTGCTTTTCGGAAAGCATGTAAAACTTTTCTTTTCTGCCGCCCATTGTTTTGTTATTGTTATTTTTAAAGCTAATTGTATTGTTTTAATCTTCTTCTGTAAACTGCTCCGAGCCAAATTGGGAGTAGCAGTATACAAGTTAAATAAATAAATAAATAAATAAAAGTTGCCTGCCAACCTATGGTGACTGCATAGATTTCATAGGCTTCTATTATTAATAAGATTTGCATTGCTTTTGATTCTGTAAGTTGTCTCAAGTCCTACCCTTAGGAAAAACTCATATATAAAGCGATTGGCTTATAGGCTGTGCTACATTTTTAGTGATTCTTATGGTTTAATTTGTACTCTTTGCTAGTTTAGTTAATTTTAAAGATTATTTTGGAAGCTTTTGAAAGAGAAATGGGATATTCATAAGGCAATTCTACATAGCTCAATTCAGAAGTAAGCGCTGTTGAGTTCAATGACACTTAATCACGGGTAAACTTTTGCTGGCTTGTTTTAAAATAAGAAAATGACATGTACAATTTGATATAATGCTGTATTGAAACACCATAAGATAGAAAGGTAGTGTTGGTAACAAAGATGTTATTGTTGTTGTTGCTGAATAGGTGACAATAATATCACAAGCATGGCACTCTTCTTCAGCAGAAAGGAATTCCCTAGTACTTGGAGATTATGATTGCATCCACATGGCAGAATTGTAGCAGTTTGACATCACATTAATTGCCAAGGCTCAGTGCTATGGAATTCTGGGATTGGAAGTGTTGTGAGATATCCATTATTTTCCATTTAGTACAATGATTCCCAACCTGTGATCTGTGGACCACCAGTGGTCTGCAAGAACTAAAATATGATCCACAGCCCCACAGTTACTACACCATTGCAATGAGAGTGACTGGTCTTGCAAAACCCTCTTATAGTGCCGAGGCTTATTAAATATGGTTTCTGTGGGCAAGCAGATGGTGACTACTGGATAGCATATGTTCTGCATCAGAAACTAGAGCTGATGTGATCTATCTAATACAATTTGATTTGTTTTGTTTTTATTATTGAATTGATTTGTTTTTTTATTATTGTTAGGGTTTTATTTGATATGTTAATGTTTTTAAGCATTTTAATGTTTTTATGATGTTGATGGCATTGCATTGTTGCTTTGTGAACCACCTTGAGTCACCTGTGGGCTAAGAGGGATGGTATACAAATGTAGCAAATAAATAAATAAATAAATAAATAAATAAGTTTTCTGAAGCAGCACCCCAAATAACCAAGCCAAATCTAAAGTTGACTAAAAACTGTTTCGCAACCCTTTTGGTACTAACATTGGAGAGTGGCCTCTGGACAAAGTGGTCCCTGGACAAAGTGGCCCCTGGTCAAAAATGTTTGGGAACCACTGGTCTAGTACAAGAAACTCCCAGAATTTCATAGCATTGAGCCATGACAGTTAAAGTGGTGTCAAACTGCTATAATTCTGCAGTGTGTGTGGTCCTTAAGAAGAAGGAATTCTTAGGATAAGCTTCCATGGAAGCTGATCTCATGCATCTCATGAAATGGACAGGAGTCCACAAAAGTTATGGAAAGCTGCTATCACCCCCTCTCGGTGCCATTATGATGATAACTATGAAAATCATGATGTGGGCTTGGAAAAAAATACTTATTGCTGGTTTGCACGTCAGGAGCTTTGAATAAGAACAGAAGGTGAACATGCCCACTCTTCATTCCTCCACCTCCCTATAAGAGGCAGAGAGAGAGAGAGAGAAAGAGAGAGAGAGAGCACAGTATTGTGCCTTCCTAATTAAACAGCAGATTTCAGCTTGTCATTTCCTCCAGGAGACAGCCAACTGAAAATAAACAAACGTGTTAAATAAGCAAAGAAGCATGTAGCAGAAAAGGAAGGCGAGGCTGGTGGCAGCGCGTTTATTGAGTCTCCCTGAGTGGAGTGGTTGCAAAACCGCCCCTCCATCCACTCTACGACAGGCTGCAACCATCTGGGCAGGAGAGCGCTTCTCTCTCGCCTTTTCCCACGAGGCGGACACAGGCAGAGATCCAAGTGGGAAAGGCACGGGCCGTGAACTTTCCGCGCTTGCCATTTGCCACTCACTGGAGCGTCTCCTTCCCAAACCCAGAGTGGTGTTGCGCCCGCCTTGGAGGAGGTGGAGGAGGGCTCGCTCTTGGAACAAGACGCGCAGAAAAGGAACCGGGCACAAAAAAAAGATCTGGAGGATTTCTCCCACTTTGAGACACAGCTAGATATTTCTACTACATAAAGGAGAAAACATCTTGAACCACAATAAACATAGAAGAGGAAAAAAAATCTTGAACAACGCAGCCAAACCCGACAGAAGAATACAAATAAAGTACATCCTTTTTTGTTTTTGTTTTGAGAAACGCGTGGCAACCTTATCAAAGTCTAAAAAAGGGTCTGATCTCTTCCATAGGCTCTTGCTTCATGCTGGAGCATCTGCCCTCAATCCCCCCTCAACTGTATGCCGCTTTGGAGGGCTTCCCCAGAGAAGCGCCTTCTCTCCTGCGCCCAGTGTGGAGACTGGCGCTCCTGGGCTTCGGGAGCAGGGGGCTCCACTCCTGGGCCTCCCACTGGCCTCCTCTCCGCTCTGTACACGGCACTTGGGGGCGGGGAGGCGTGGGGAGCCCCCTGGACGCCACCCTCCCCGAGAGAGAGCCAAGGCTGTCTCTTTAAATGCCGGGGTCTGCGCGGCGGAGAAGGGGAGGGCTCGGCTCGGGGCGTGCGTAAAAATTCCTGGGCTCCTCTGACAGTCTCAGGCAGCCAGCGCCGCTCGACGCATCTTCCCCTCTCGCATCCCAACTCGCATCCCGGCGAGGGAGAGGCGCGGAAAAGCCTTCCCGGGGCCGGAGCATCCTTCCTGGGTTGGCACTGGCGGGCAGCACCCTCTCCCCTCGCCCCAGGGCCGCGCGTTGTCTCTCTTTCGCCTCTCTTGGCGCCCACCCGTCTGGTCACCACACCCTCTCCACCCAAAGAGGAGACACCTTGGATTCTTACAGCCCGCTCCCCAAGAAGGGAAACAAACCAAAGTGGGGGTTTGACACCTTCCAAATCCTCTCCTCCAACTAGAAAGGTAAGACTTTGGGGCAGGGAGGGGAGCGGGGCGTGAAAAGAAGAGAGAGGTGAAAGACAGGTTGGACGATCCACGAACCCGACAGAGGATTTCAGCGCCTCCACTGCGAAGCCTTCCTGGTCCTGTTTCCTTTAGTTTGAGAGGCGCTAGAAGTTCTCACCAACGCTGGAGAATTTCCTAAAAAAAGGAAACCGTGAAACAACCAAACGCCAAACTTGCCAACAAGAGATTTATTAGCATCGGATTTTGGTGAAGTTTTTGCCCCTCACCTTATATTTTTCCCCTTCCCCTCTTAAAAAGTAAGCAGTGATGGTTATGATTGGACTGTACATTTGAGGCACTCCTAAGGTGACATCTCTTCCTTGATTCAAATAGGTCTACATACAATAATTCATTTGGATGAGGAGTTCTATGTTTTTAAAAAACTTTTCCAAATTATAAGTTGAGGCAGAATGAAATTGATAAGGAAAGGAATCTTTTGGAGCAAAACCATTTGGAAGAATTTTCAAGCTCTTTTATTTGAGAGTAGTTATAAATAATTGGGTTTGGGGGCGGAAGGAGGACAACCTCAAGGCTTTTTCTCCCCCTCCCCTTCTTACTTTGGATCTGTTACAAGAACCCTCCTTCCCCGCCTTCCATTTGTTTAGATTAATGATTTAGTACCCAACCTTGCTCGAAAACTTCCCCCTATGAGCAACTGCTACGACTATCCAGGCAAGAAGTAACCATATATGTTGGTTTTGCAATTTCCTAATGTCGAAATCGACGTGCAAAATCCCCTGTTTTTTTATTCAATTTTTCCCGACCCAAATATATACTTGTTTTCTAATTTTACTCCATGAAGGACGGTGATGTAATTCCCTTTCCTAAGGGTTATGACTCCGGTGCTGTCGAAGTGACGTGGTCTTTTGTTTACTTTCACATTTTGTTTTGACTTTTTTTTTTTACAAAAATAAAGAAGGTTGAAAAATATCCTCGGAAATTATTTGTCTTTTTACAAAAACCCAACCCACATTTTGTGAAAAGGGATTTTTTTTCTCCATCATTTTTGACAATTTTGGATACAAATAATAAAAAAACCAAAATATTTAGCTGGTGATAAGAAGCCCAGAAAAAAAAAGAGAAAAATTAGTCTGAAAATCAAAATGCTAGTCTTTCCCATTTTTTTCTTTACCTTTTTCTTAATTTTTAAAATGTTTTCTTAATTTTCTTCTTTGACCGGAGTTTTCACAATTTTGTTAAAAATAGATTTCTCCTCTATTTGTTCTTAATTCTTCTTTGGTTTTAACCTGAGATTTCCACTCCCAACACTGAAGGTTTCAGACCCCCCGAGAGAGACAAATATTTTTATGACCGTTCGCTGGCACTTGTGTCATGGTATATTTTTGGGGACTGGTTTTTGCGGGGGTGAACTCCTAACTAGTCTAGCGAAAAGTCGGGACAGAGAGAGCGAAGGAGGAATGTAATCTGGGTGGAGAAATGAAGAGACTATAATGGGAGCTGTATCCTCGCCGTATCAAAATGGCCATTAAATATACAAAAAAATATTAGGGTGCTTGCTGTCCTTCCCATTTTATTAAAATGCTCTGTAGGTGAGTTTAGTGATAGGTTAGTGGTACGTGATCTTTTCTTTCTTTGTCCTTTTTATTTATTTTTGGTAAGAAGTGATGGTTTCCATCTTATTTTGCTGTCTTTCTGTCTGTACATGCTTTTATGCACCATTATTATGGGTATCAATGGAATTATTTTCTAAGGAGAAATACCTGAAAACAAAGGGCAAGGGGAAATATGTATAATCACCTAAAACATGTTGATGTGATGGAATAACAGTATTAATTGGTTCGATGAAATATGCATTGAATTTTCGTTGATGAGGATTTTCTTTCTGGATCATTCGAGGATCTTTGACTGGACTGTGCTTTAGGAAAATGGGGGGGGGAGTGTGTGTTTCTTATCAGCCTTTATACTTTAACAATGGAGAAGGGTTCAATAAAAAGGCATTTAAATAAATAAATAAATAATAAATACAAAAACCAGAGACCCCCCCCCCTTCCCCCCGTGTTTGATTTCATCATCTCTGGCGATTATGGCTTTTTGATAGAGCTGGTATCTGATGATATCACCGTTCTCCATGGCTCTACCCTGGCCTGATTTTACACTGCGTTTCCACTGAACATGTTGGCGTGCTTCTGCTTATATAAGGGCAAGAACGAATTCAAGCGGATTAGTGCTTGGGATTTTGAGATCGGCTACCCAGATTGAGTTGTGGGATTTTTATTTTATTTTTTAAAAATGTTGCTTTTGTAAAATTATTTATCATTGTTGCTATTAATGGGTGGGGAAAAGGTAGGAGAAAATGGGAGAGCCTCAAAAATCATGGTGCGTGCAATGGGAGATTGAGGTGATGCGGGAAGCTGCTGGGTTGAATAAGATCTGTGATGTGCCCTTATTATTATTTTTTTTGAATAGCGGCCATTATCTCTAAAAAACACATCATTCTTTAGGCCAGAGCTTTAACAAATAATAATGGGAGGGGATATCTTTAGTGAGGGGGGTTGATCTGAGAGTCATTAGACCCACTGCTGCAAAACCAAGATACAGAAAACCATCTGCACTAATGCTGGTAGGGGAAGCTGGAGGGGAAAGAAGGTAGGATACACTATGCGTGTGTGTACTTGCGTGGGGGGGAGGGATGGGGTGATAGATTTTGGATTAGAAACACTGAGCTATATATTAATTAGAATCCCCCTACCCATTTTCTACCATTCCGTTTCCCCCTGTTTTTCTACCCTTTCTCCTCATTTCTGTGTCTCACGCCCCCAGCTTTTTGGTTTTGATGAAAAAAATCTGTATTACCTCTTGATGGCTCTGCGGCTTTTTTTGGGTGTATGTGTGTGTGCATGTGTGCATGTGTGTGTCTGTGTATTACAACAGTAGCATAATGACCTTTGATTTGCTTCATTCGCCACACATGTAAGATACCATTATGTATGCGATCATGGCTTATACCGACATTTTCATGATAGGCCATGGTTAAATTCTGTCTCTGTATATGTGTGTGTGTATGCTTAAAGCATATAAACACATACATACGCACACTGGATTGAAGGAAGGCTGATAGGCGTTGGTCAGAGATAGGAAATACAGCAAATGCTAAATGCATATCCGTCCATTTTGCCACCTCTTCGTTCTATTTTTCCTCCTTCCCTGATATGTTGCATTGTACATCATACCATTTGTATGTTGAAATGGAGGGTGTGTAAGGAAGGAGGTTAAGGAAGCAAAGTGTACGTATATGTGTGTTTCTTTGTGTTGTAGAGGAATGGAATTGGTGATGGTCATAATGGTTTTTGGTCAAGTAAATGCTTGATGATAATGATTCAGTTTAACCATCCATGAAATACAAGCATGCGACACATTGGAATAAAGGTTACTCCAGGGAGCTGTGAATGAGCAAGGCATGCTCCAGGAAGCATGCAGTCTGCAGTACTGGAGAATATGACATGGATGCGGGCATCCAGCACTATTCTCCCCTCACAAAGGCCAGGTGTATGTCCAAGCTGGAGGGCATTGCAAGAGAAAGAACGCGGTTTTGGGGGGGGGGGGTGGCTATGCTAGTGGTGTCACAGTCAGGAGTCATCCAGAGTGTATCTGGGCCTGTCCTCATGGGTTGTCCATCTGATAGTTGTTCCCAAGGTTCCCCGTGTTTTTGATCAGACATTACAGGAATGTCATCTTCCCCATACACCTCTGTGCCGAAGGCTGTATGCTTATGTGAGACTCGCAGAGGGCAAATCACGGGTGATGTGTGTGTGTGCTGCAGGAGGATAAGGGAGGAATTCACCTTGCACTATTATAATATGCAAAAGGAGATTGGGGTGGAGGTGGAGGTCACAAGAAGAGATGGCATTTTCTGGAAGCATTACCACCTCTTGCCAGTTATGCCTTATATGTTCTTTTTGTTTCGTTTCTTTTGTCAGTTGCTTTTTAGGCTCAGTGATATTGTGTGGGGAGCTTTTTTCTGGGTGGGACTGTGCATCTAGGATTGGAAAAGGACAAAGCAGAATAAAAATCCAGACACAGGCTGATGACAAATGCCTTGTCCCTTTTAACACGCCTTTTCTGCCACGATCAAAAGGTCTTCCTCCGCACATCTTGAGGCAAACGTTGATTTAATTATTTTGGTGGGTATCACCAGAGGGGTCCGTTCGGGTGCACATCAAGAATTCGGCAAGGAAGGAATGGTCTCTTGGGTTTCTATTTTCTCAGCAGCGACTTCTCCCTTGTTTTCTGCATGTGGTTGGATTTGTTTGTGTTATTCAAAGGCCCCCATGTTTTCTTTTTTACGTGAAGGTAACAAAATCGAACCCAGTAAATGGCTTGCTCTGCGACGTGCTTGCCATTTGTTCTTTTTTGTTCTTCTTCGCCAAGCTGACCTTGAAGAATTCTAGCAAATGAGAACCAAGAAGTCGGGGATGAGCGAATTACAGGGCACCTGATGTCCACAGTCTTCATGGATAGGTACTGGTTGACTGGATTCGTTAGTTTCATTTTGGTGAGACACACCCTGTTTCAACCTCTTCCATCTGTACAGACAATATTTTGTATTCTAGTCTGTCTAATGAATAGCTGGGCAGACTGGAGCCCAAACTAAGGCTCTATATGAGAAAGGATGGTGCAGTGACTGGCAAAACAACAGGCAGGGGGCTCTTCTCTTGTAAAACCAAAAGTCCCACCCTGAGACATTCTCTCCCATGCAGCAACACCAGCCTGTTGAGTTTTGAATAATTCCTTTCCAATCTCCATGATAGAATAAGGCATTATTCCTTGTCTTTAAAAACTGTGACCTCAAGAATATCAAATAAGGTACTGTGAAATTGACAAAGCCTTAGAAAGGTTGCAGCTATCTCTTGTTGTTTGATCTATGCTTAGGGACAAGCATTTCAATGAAAATTAGATTTTTTAAAACATTTTTTGTTTCCTTTGCATGGTTGTCTAAG